GTGCAGGACGCTTGAAGCGGAAGGATGGGCAAGGGGAAGAGTATGTTGATGCACATGTATTTTATAAAAGTTTCGTAGACCAAAACTAAACTCGTCCCATCCATCCTGGGCAGGCAGTTGAGATTTTTCATGGCATCACGACATAAGTGATTGAAGAACTTGTTGTGGCCAAGTTGCATGCGACACAAACCTGTTATTTCGTGGCTCAAACGGCATGCGACATCATGATATGGCTTCAGGGCCTTTCAAGATTCCTAATCAAGCACGCGTCAAGTGTTCGAGGTCGATCTACACATTTTCGGATAAAGTTGTACGCCACAGCAAGGTAAACAACAAAATTTGAAATTGACTCCATGCTATCGATATCATGATAACTGAAGGACAAATTAGAATAGGCGACGCGATGTCGGACACGGTGAGGAACACCTGTGTACATGCTCCTCCAGCGCCGCAATGCAGTCTATAAGGCATTTGGAGGTGTTGGTTCCGGTCCGATGAACTTTCCACCTCAGATATCTGGACGTTATCAAGTGTGTGATATAGGGGATGTGGTAAACTCCAAGCATCGTGGACAGCGATTATGCTTGAGTATAGTGTGCGCCTCGGATAATATTAGGGGTAATGTAAAACTTTGAACCTAGACTTTGACGGGGAAAATCATTTTGTGCATTTGCAACGCCCACACGTCAAGTCAATAAGCTGCAGCTGGCCATGAGACGGCAGGATAAGTATTAGTCGAGATTAATGACATGTCAACTACACATACACATACACCAAGTATATACTGCTCAGAAGCCAACCATGGGCGAAGGGCAAGTCGCAATGATTCACAGGAAATGCACGTCGACGTCTTGCTTGGAAGAGTTATGTGATCCTCGTCAAAGGTCTTAGCGTGACATAGCAGAGGAGGACCGAGATGCCGGCGGAAGAAAAGCGGAAGCCATGACTGCACTTCAATGCAATGAGCACGGCACGTTTTTGAGCTCTCATGCTCTTATCAAACGTTAACAGGATCGCATGCGCCATGTGGGGCAAGGAAGAATAGAATGATCACGCTCTGGCCCCATGTAGATTTCACCCTTATACCTGACCAGAGTTAACGCTGTATTTCGACACTACGAATACCTGTTGAACGTTGCCGAGAGCTTTAATGCGTGTACATCCTCGGACCGGGTTATGAGCATATCGTGTCTGGTGGAGGGAAAACTAACTGTAGAATTTGGAAGCATGCCGACGCCAGACCCACAGATCCCGCACTCATCCTCATGAGGTCATGGGCCTGCTTTGTAGAAGTAGAATGCTGGGCTGGCGGATGTGAGTTCTTGGTTTTATCGGATCTCAGCCGCACTGAAAAAAAAAATTTGAGTATCAATCCGAGATGTAATGAAAACAACTGACGACTAACAGAAGCTGAACAGAAGGTCACCGCCTGGCAATGACACCCATTGACAGGGCAGCAATTTTGAAAACTGGTAAGTTCCGTTGAAAAGAACTAGGGCCCCGAAGTCATGCCTACAAAGAACCACGTCGCTGACGTTCGTGATTGCATGAAAAGTGTCCGCTTAAAACCGTGTAACATGATGCAAATGAACAAGTTGGTTGCAATACACCTCGAGCGAGATGCCCACCGCGTTGTCATAATTCTGAATTGCTACTATGTACGATGTATCAAGTCAAGAACTCCTGTCGTCCTGACCTGTTTTAAGCATCAAGCGGTAACCGACATGACCTATAGGGGGTCTGTGAGAGAGCGAAGAAAAATGAGCGGAAAACCAGTGGCGGAAACACGCCGCCTCCGCAAGCCAGTGTCCGGCATAAAAAGTTTTTAGAGACCGAAGGCTGCACACGCAGTCGAAGGGCAATGACAATGTTGACAATAGCATCCCTTTCATGGCTCTCGCGGTTGCATCGGTCGCGGGGGGCTGTGCTGTGTCGGGCTAATTTTTTTCATTTTTAACCCCAACCATCATTTTATCATGATTATTCGTAAACATATAAGAAAAAAGTCCTTCAAGTCAAGTAGCCCGCCACCTGCCATCAACCAGCCTCTTTTGCGCTTGCTCTCTTGCCCTTATACTCTTATAATCATCACCACGCCTCTATCAAGACCAATCTGGGTTTAGTGAACAAGCCACTTGTCGTCAAGTTCATCTGGTGAGTCAAAGGGACCATTATATTCTTTTAGTGCGTACTAGGGCTTGTGCCACTTGGGAGGCGCGCCATAAGGCTGGTTGAAAGGGGATAAAGAGAAAGAATTTTTTGATGCCTGATTGATGGACCATTGGAACAATCTATGATCTTGCCTTAGGGTGATGGGGTGTTGTGGGTGCTTTTGGGGCATAACACCTCGTGCCTAGGAAAACAAGAAGATTCCATTCTATATAACTACTCTCTTTTTTAGGGTTGGCTAACGTTGTCTTTGCGCAGATTGCGTCTGTTTTTTTCTCGCGTTTGAGTTTCTCGTGATCGTTTCGAATGTCTGCATCGCACCAGCCTGATCCCCAAAGGCTGTCTACGAATGCACCTCGCAGTAGATACCAGCAAGTTCCTGCTCCAGTGAGTGTCTTAGTCTATTTTCTAACAACTCCGCTCTTATAGGCGCCCGTAGGCAGCACCGCATACTCACGCTCCTGGCGAACGGCGCACTGATATCTACTACGGTCACGAGGTCCTTGCAACGCTTGGAGCGCGATTTATAAATCACTTGTTCGAATGTCCAGATCACATTCATCCCACCACGCAAAAGGCGTCATCGCTGGCGGTCTTCATTGCGTACGGTCTTCACCGAACCAAACTTCCCAAATGCGTCACTTTTGCCTCTCTGATTCTCCTTCAGCGGCTAAAAGCTCGTTTTCCGACTGCAAGGGGCTCTTCTGGTCACCGCCTTTGGATATCGGCTTTTATGATTGCGTCCAAGGTCATATGCGACGATACGTATTCGAACAAGTCGTGGGGGATTGTGGCGCAGGGGATGTTCAATCTGCGGGAGATCAATCAGATGGAGCGCGAGATGTGCAATTATCTAGAGTGGGAGTTATCTGTCGACAACGCCATTCTAGACAATTTCGAGAAGCGGTTACGAGAAGACTACGCATCACCAAGTGGTCCATACCCTACATACCCACTGTCGATGGTTTCAAAACGCGCCGCCAAGGCTGCTGCCGCCAACGCCACAGCTTCTACCACGACCACACCGATACCCGAACCCAGCACTACGACGAGCGCGATACCCAACTTCGGCAACCAGGAACAACCGCCTCCCTCAAGCGCACCGTCTGCCCCCTCGACTTACACGGCCGGCTCACCACAAACTCCATCGCCAAGTTATTCTACCTCCACGTCACCCGCTTCTTCCGCATCTCCAGCTACGCCAGTGGGTGGCGAAGACTATGGCGCGAGGGTTCACGGATTGGACACCGATCCGATATTCTCAATTATCCGAACTCTTCCCCCGGTGCATCCATTAAAATCACAAATGTCGGCACTTGCTGTCCCGTCCAGATGGTGACGGTTATGTATGTCTCATTTCCCTCTATTTCTCCCCCTGCATACATTGTACTACTTACCCTCAATCACACGGATATTCTACAATATACCCACATTCATATAGTGTATCATATGTGCCGAGAACTACCTGATTGTCGCCCTCTGTTCATCCATATCAACCAGCTTCTCATGACACCTCGAGCGTTATTAACTTATATCGCTATTCCGCTCCTTTTACATATCCACACACTCATACTTATAATACCTCTACTGGTGCTTTGCACGCGATACAAAAACAACAGAATATCAATCAACAGCTCGACGCCGTTGCGCAACTTAGGGGACATTGGAGCCAAGCGGGCCTTCTCCAATCGATTAGGCCAGGCCGCAGTGTAGCGTGCGTCGTATCGCATCACCATCGGCATTAGCCTACTCAGAGTAAACCTTCAACTTCGGCCTTAGAGCAAGCTCAGAGCTATTGCAATCAGATTTCTGATTTGAACACCTGACGACGAGTTGCGCCGACTCTGGAACCCGCCTTATCTGCGATTCTAGGGAGTATGGAATCTAGCCTCGTATAGCAGCTGACGACATTCTCCTCACCAGATGTCTTCTTTCAAGGCTTGGCGGTCCCGAACTGCAGATGCAATCTTCCAAGGGTCGTCACGCAAATCCTTGTATTTTTGAGCGCCTAGCGTTTATCAAGGCGCGTAACGTCCTTCATCGCCCTCGTTAATGTTACAATTACTTACTCACACTAACGCTCGGCTCAGACTACAGCATATTGCCAAATTCGTCGTGTGGCGCTGACATCTGTTGCGTTCCTATGTGTAACTGACCAATTTATCTAGTATTCATCCATTTAGCGCTCAAGGACAATGGCAGAGCCATATAAGTATAGGCAGTCAGATGGCATAGTCACCTTGTGAGTTGAGGTTGTAACATGGTGGGACTGATGGGATCTCTCCTTTCAGGTGCCATTGTCTTTTCTACGTCCTTTATTCTTCCACATATGTCACAACTGCACAGCCTTGTTCGGCATTCAGTTCCTTTAACGCCTTTTTTGGATTTCTGTGGGCGCTACTTGGTCGTTATGAAAGGGCGCTAATTCTCGATAGCCACGATTCAACGAGCGCCTGTTGGATCGACATAAGTCGAGAGTTGGTCTTTAGTAGATCAAAATCTGTCTGGCACCTGCAGATAGGTGTAATTTTAATTTTACATGGATCCATCCGAATCGATTATGATCGATGCCATCCGTAGCCACCTGCCTCTGTTAGATTGATGTAGGACGGCTTGTGTGCTGCTCAGAACCTCGATAGGTATCACGATAATGATCATCATGGACCGACATCGGACAACGTCATGGACCGTCTTCTGTGAGTGGCTGCACCACCCAAAGTCACAAGGTTGAGAGCAAACGAACGTGTATAATAGTCCCAAGGGATTCCATCACTGTCAATGGCACTGTGCAGTGCTACAAGATGCGATACTTGCCTGGTTTTCGAAAAAGCTGCATTAAGGGGGAATCGAACCCCCGGCGGGTCGAGTCAAACTCGGATGGCAACGACCCAGGTTACCACTACCCCATTAATGCTTGTCAAGCAAAGGATGCTTTATTTACTTTGGACACTCAATTTCGGCAACTTTGGGTGTATTTGTCATAGGTTTGCTAGAGCGGAGCTTTAAAGTCACTTGCTCGCCGTCGTCGACGTTGGACTCGTGCAATAATGCCTTTCGGTCTGACTATTGGTACAGAGCGCGCTTCGGCTCTTCAAGTACGTCTATTTTATCTCTTATTTTCGAATTAGAACTGATTTTTCCCCAGCAATCTATCCAGGATGAGCTTACAAAACGCGGCTACAGTCCCGAGGCTGGTAAGTTTTTTATTCCTTCGCCCAGCCCGACAAGCATTCACGACATTGCAGACCCTGTTATGGCTGAATATATCACTATCATGGTTATCAACAATAAGACTGCTCGTGAGTATTATTCTCCTAAACTACTGTTCACAGCTCTGACTGTACATGTCATAGAACAAATAACATCTGAACTTGAAGATCGTGCGTGCTCAATTTCCTAGCCTCTTTCATCTGCTAACCCTTCTTTTAGTGATTGGTTCCGACTTTAGTATGTCATCTTGCTATGTCGCACGAGCGTCTATTAATCCATTTTCCAGACCCTAGTTTTACGGAATGGCTATTCCAAGCAGCTGCTATGGGAGCCACAGAGGCCGAAGAACCGCAACAGCCAGAGCCATCGACATCTGAAGTTACCCCACATGAAGCTCCGCCACAAGCTCCTGCAGACACTTCTCGTCGGCAGCCACACCAACCCCCCCGTAATAATGTCTACCAACATGCGTTGTCGCAGGCACTTCCAAATTCCTCCTCTGGGCACAAGCGTACTGCTTCTGCTCGGTCACCATCTCCCAGTCATCCAAACAAATCCAGACGAACAGACCTTCCGACGGGTCCGAGAGCTATGACTCGTACCGAAGGTGGGGCCAACTCGAGGAGTTTAATCGATCGTATTGGTGGGCAAAGTGGACCTGGCAGGAATGGACCTAATGGCTTCGCTCACGATGACGTCCAGTCCCGGATCGACAATATTGTTGGTACTTCACCAGAGCAGAACCTGATGATGGCTGGTGGATTCCCGGGTATGGCTAATGCAGGTGGTATGGATATGTCGATGGCTGGCATGGCCAACCCAATGATGTTCCAGGATATATTGATGAACCAGATGGCGTTGATGGCTCAGATGACAAACATGATGAATAGCGGGCAATTCGTTGCACCTGGTGGTTTCCCTATGCAAGGAATGCCAGGAGATATGGGAATGTTCCCTGGCGGCATGAATAATGGATTCCAGGGGCAAATGAATGGCAACGATGTGAATAGCAGAGGAAGAGGGAGGGGTGGAGGTCGAGGCGGTAGGGGAGGAGCAAATAGAGGCAGAGGAGGCTCAACGGCAGCACAAACTCCGCCTACTGCTGCACCAAAAGTGGAAGAGGTCGATTCGAAGGTTGCTGCAGCTCCAATTTCTCATGCAATACCCATTGTCGCCCCTACTCCAACACCAGCCTCAACTACTTCCGCCACTACTACCTCTGCACCCCAACGTTTAGGTTATGCACTCCCCGAACGCCCTCAGTCACCCACCTTATGCAAATTCAGCACAAAATGTACGAACGCGCAATGTCGTTATGCCCATCCTTCCCCAGTTGCTACCACAGAGAGCGGTGTCGTGTTGAGCAATGAGGCCTGTGAAAAGGGAAAGGATTGTCAGGACAAGGACTGCATCAAGTCGCACGTCAGCCCGGCAGTTTTGAATCCTCAGCGTACGTATACGAATTTACAAACTTTCAGCTTATTCATTGACTTTCCGATCTCCAGCTGTAGAACATGTCGTTTCCACACCTGTACCTCAATCTCATGCTCACAATGCGCCTGTGCCCTGTCGCTTTGGCGCTGCATGCACACGACCTGGCTGTACCTTCGGCCATCCGCCTCGATCCAACGCCAACGTCACCACTCAATGCCGCTTTGGAGCCGCCTGCACGCGTGCAGGTTGTCCGTTTGTTCACCCCGAGGGCCGTGTATTACCCACTAGCTTCCACAGGGGTTTGAGCACAACTGGACCGATGGTGACCGTCTCGACTCCTGAAACAGGATCTATGTCTGGCTCTTCTAGCCATCACAAGAGCGTCAAGTTCAACAAACCAGCGGGCCCTGGGCAGGGCGTGAAAGAGAAACTGCAGCAGCAGATAAAGGAGATCGAGCAAAGCAAGCTCGAAGCAGAAAAGGCCGTGCGGGAAGCAGAGGCTGCTGCAGCCAAGAAAGACGAATCTAAACCCGTCGCTATCACGGCGTAGGCTCCATATGAACCACGGAGGATTCTCGCAAAACACCCATATCTCTAACACTATCAGGAATGTGTACCCTGCCGCACTGTAGTTTATTGTCCTACCTTTCTTTGACCTGATTTTTATTGCTTCATTAGCTACTGGTCTCGATACTTACATACGTTGATATATTGCGTTGTGATTAGAATCATCACTGCCTGCATGGAGCACTGAGCTTTCAGTGACTCTACTCACCCACCATCTTGTCCATAAATTCAGGAGGAACATTTGCATGCGAGTGATATAAAAGTAATATTCGTCAAGGAATGTATAGCTGTACAATCAATACAGACATGCAGACGCAAAATTATGGCCCGCCATAAATATATCAAAGTCCCAGAAAGCTCAACCATCCAGGTTTATTTACAGTTACATAAACGTGGTCACCTTTTTCGCCATCCTTGAACTACAAAACATGACCTTTGTCAGTACTCAAAGCTGAGAAATAAACTGAACCTACCGTTAATTCACGCGTTCTGTGCAAGCTCTCAATTTCGTCGATTCGAGCTCGAACACTATCGAGAATCTCTTGGAAGCCTTCCTCTGCTACCACCTCTTGTGCAGCATGAAGAATAAGCATTGAGTCAGGCCGTACGTTGTGGTTTATCTATGGTGATTTAATCAGCGATGTGACATGGCAAAGTGAGGCGTGGAGACATACGTCGATGGCAATGACATTAAGGCGGTCAAGTTCTACGGTCAGAAATTCAGCTCTGAAATTTAAATAGTCAGATCATACTCACCCTCCATAAAATCAGCTCTGGTCATGATTTGGCGACATTGCCACTAGAGCAGCAAAAGAACGTTAGCATTACTACAGTGCCACATTAAAAGAGAATCCCTCACATAAGGAATGGAAGGTAGCTCCAGGTTCTCTTCTACAACTTCTCCAGCGGCTAGTGCAGCTTCGCGTGCAGCAACATTTTCTTTTTGCCTTTTCACAAACTCCTGAAGCAGCAGCCAGGAGCACGAACTCCATTTTTGCTAGCGTAATTCTCAGTCAAACATACATATTTCGAGCCAAGCAAGGTAACATACTTCGTCCATGACGTCGTCATCGCAATCTTGGATTAAACCTTGAAGATAAAGGAATAAGACTGGAATAAGACCAGCAATAGAACTTGCGTGCTCACCGATCTGACTAAGGAGCCACGCCTTTTCGACATTCTTAAGATGCTCAGACATCTCCACCGTGTCTTTAGCCTTCGCGATCTAAAAAACGTTGTTTAGTTATGAGGACCTGCAGCTGAGTATGCTTCTAAACTTGCCTTGTTGAGATAAGCGAGGCGACCTCCGACCAAAGCAACAGACTTCTTGAGTTCCTCCGGGCTTGCCGTCGCACGCCGACTATCGTGCCGAATACGAGTCGCTGCATGCAGAGATTCATGATGATCTAGGTCGCGTATGGATAGAACCTGGAAAGGAAAGTACAAAAAAAATCAGTACGCCTAGAAAAAGTGAAAGTCGAATGGACTAGTCTTACATGCATTCGACTACCAGGTCTACCTAGAAGGAAGCCGTGAATTTCAGGATGGTATTACAGTGTAACTAGAGGAACATACGCATGACATGGAATGGCCAGAAGTCATCACTATTTTGCACTGTAAGAAATATCGCTATGAAAGGTTTTGCAGCTTACGAGGTGAATACCATAGTGAGGATGCCTAAAAATGTCATCGATCAGTGTGCAGCAACTTACAAAAACAACATACCGCTAGCAGCCCATGATTCTGCTTTTTGCTGCAGCTGTAATATCATATTACGGCCCTCGTCTTCATTTTTAAAGAAATGGATGTTGTTGATGACAAGGACAAGCGGGCGACCGGTTTTACGAGCAGAACGTAACGCAACTTTTTCTAGTTTATTTAACGCTGATACACGATCGTCAGCTACAGCAGTCTGAATAGAATAAAGTAGACAAACCTCTTTCGATGTCCAAAGCTGGTCCACCTGTGCAATTATAAGCCTAAGGATGTCGGCAACATAAATGTACGCGCGGAATACAGACCTTCCCTAGGATCTCTTCGTTGGAACAAACCAGTCTGGGAGTCCTCATTGAATTCGAAATTGAGCGTCTTTCCAAGTCTGAGCCTGAACACCTCTAGGTCTGGATGAGCGTCACACATAGAAACACCTTCTGCTTGACAAGCTGCCATCGACTCGAATATCATAGTTCCTTTTCCAGCGCCCTAACAAACACTTAGACTGATTCAAGAAGACGAGGATATGTCGTACCTTGGGGCCAAGAAGCATAAAATAATGTCCAGGTTCTTTTCCATGGATAATGCGGTCAATTGTATCCTGTTCCTTTCGTCGCAAATTCTCTGTCCAGGGTTGCCCATCGAATTCAAGCTCTCCGTATCTGTCGTCGACGTCAGTGGAAGCCGATCGTTTCGTCTGGTGTGTGGCAAGTTCCAGAGCGGGATCATACCCCGCAGCAAACGACTCCTCAATCTAGAATGCAAAATTCAGCGAGACGTCCTTCGATTAGCAGCTTAAACTCGAGCAATGTACCTTGTCTAATACACGTTTTTTGTACCAAGACAAATACGCGACGCCTCCACCGAATACTTTAGACAGGCATTCAGTTTTGGACAAAAATTAGAGATCAATTGGGGCTCACCCATCGCCAGACCAATAATAGTGGTCAGCGCCGCATCTAAGAGGGGCGATTTGGTCATAGAGAATAC